AACATTTAAACCTATAATTATGAAATTTGAGTTAGAAATTATTATATATTATTACCTCTGTGCTTTGATAAATAAATAAATAATTAAAAAAAATGAGAATACAAATTTTTATTTTAGTTACTAAAATGCAACGATAAAATCTATAGCCAAGTTTGAAAACTATATTCTTATTCCCTTTTTTATCTAAACTTTATCAATTTCATTCGTTTGTTCTGTGGGCTCCACTGCATTTTCATTCATTATTTTACATTCTTATCATTTTGTCTATCTCCTTTATCTACATTTTTTTAATAAATAAAATTAAATAAATTAAAATAACCATATTCTTTTTGTTAGATTATAAATTTTCATTTAATTTTATTAGTAAATATTCATTATTTAATTTCCTAAAGTACAAATATGTTTGTTAACTAGCATACAAATATAATTGATTGTTGATTGATGTAGTTTATTAATTAAGTTATCAAAAAAAAATTACTATAACAAAATTATTAGATTATTATTGAGTTTGTCTAAAATTCGATAGGTTTATAATTTATTTTTTATTTTATAATTAAAAAAATAAAATTTATATTGATAATTCGAAAAACTTGAACTACCCTATAATGGTTGGTTGAATGTTTTTTAAAATTTAGTCGATATGTGGGTTATTTTTTTGGTCGGGTCAACAACCAATTCAAAAATAGGGTTAAAATCCAATCATACTCTACTTTTAAAAAAAATTTAAAATATTTAATATGTGTTATAAATATTTGATATTAAAATTTATTAAATTTTAATTATTGAGATATTTTTTAAATAATTAAAAGAAAAGACAACTAAAAATAGAGTAAGTCATTGGTAAGCGGAGCCTTAAAAAGTCCAATTATACTCTGACAAGGCTGAATAAAAAAATATTTATTTATTTGGATATTAATAAATAAATAAATTTCATATGATTTATCTATCTGAGGTGATATTTCTGAATTAATTGCATTGTACCATTCCGAAAAAAAGAAAAAGGTTTCAAAATTGAATATAAATATTCGTAAAAATAAAAATAAAAGCACCCACTCGACATTCACGAAAGTGATAATCACGCGCTGAAATCCCCAATTTCCCTTTGCTCGTGAACAACACGCTCCACCCGAACCGAGCGATGTTCCCTGAAGCTGACGTCGACGACAACCTCTTTCTGCCTCTTCGATTTTGATTGGCTCCCCATCGTACGCTCTGTACGGAGGATAGTGACGCGTTATTTTTTAGCCTTTTTTTTTAAAAATAAATTAAAAATTTCCTCTCTCTTCCGTGAATAATTCGTTGTTTTATTTTTATTTAATTTTTTTCCATTTTAAAAACTCTATTATTTTTTCTTAGATTAGAAAATTATATATTTACCAAATGAGGTATTTTCCAGAATTAATCCAAATAAGTAAAATTATATAATTTTTATTTTTCTTAATTAAAAAATAAATAAATAAAGGGGAGAAAACGTGGGTGTATTTCGTGGCAATTTCCACCCATTTTTGGTGGTGGCAATGAAAACACATCTTCTAATGGTCTCTTTCTATATTTCCTTTTTCTGATATTTATTACTTATTAGCCCCTTTCTTCTTCTGGGGTTTTCACATTCGGCCCCAAATTTTCCTTTTTTGCTCTCCCAACCACATTCCCTTAGGGCTTCTTCTTGTTCGCGTTCTTGTTCTTGTTCTTGTTCTCGTTCTTCCTTATACGGATTTCGAAGAAAATTAAATATATATGCAGAAATGGTGAGAGGAAAAACTGAGATGAGGCGAATCGAGAATGCGACGAGTCGTCAAGTTACGTTCTCAAAGCGTCGGAACGGGTTGCTGAAGAAGGCGTTCGAGCTCTCCGTTCTTTGTGACGCTGAACTTGCTCTTATCATCTTCTCTTCTACTGGAAAGCTTTATGAATTTGCTAGCTCCAGGTATCTCAATTTCCTTCCATTTCTTCTTACCTTTTTAGTACACTACACGAGGTCGAGTTTCGCATATGTTCGAGTACAATTGATCTTACTTATTCCGGATTTATACTAAATAAGTACAATCCAAACAACCCAACTCTTCTCGGGTAACGGGATTGCCTCCGATTGGGTTGTTTTGACTTAAAAGGATCCTAAGAGGTGCAACACTCGAGTAACAGTTCCTTTTGTACGTTCTATCATTGGTGATTGGTAGGAATTTAAATGAAGCTAATAGAATACGTTAAGTTTGACGTATATTTGAATATGAAAATTAGTACAATTGATCTGACTTGTTCGGGCTTTTATACGAGGTTGCGTTATCATACAAGTAAGCACAACCCAACCCTTCTCGAGTAATGGGATTGTCTCGACTGAGTTGTTCCGACTTAAAACAATATTAAGAGGTGGAACACTCGAGTAACAGTAACGATTCCTTTTGTAGGTTCAATCATCAGTGATCAGTAGATATTTAAATTTAGTTAATAGAATACGTTAAGTTTTCAATATGAAGATCAGTACAATTGACCCGACTTATTCCAGCATTTAGGTTGAGCAATCGTAATAAATAAGCACCACAACCCAATTCTTCCGAGATCGCTCTAATGAGGTTGCTCAAGCTCAATAGGCTCTTAGAAGCACAACGCTCCAATAATGGTTTTTTTTAGTAGATTCTATTATAACGGGTCGATAGGAATTTGAACGAGGAATATTGATATTTGTTATAGATAATGTTTTTTTTCCTTCGTATTTATTAAATAAACATATTTAAATTTGTAGACAAATTTTCCATAAACGAACCTAAAGTATGAATGGATAATTTTTTATTATCGTTAATCTTAGGAAGATAAATATAATCTCGACATTTTACCATATTTAGTTGCGTTTAATTATTAATTAGTTTCAAAACCAATTTAATTTAAACTTGGATTATTTAATCTTAATCATATGCTAATTAAATGATTAATTTAGTAAGGTTAATTATTTTTTGTTAGCCAATATATTTGTACCTTATCTTATTATTTAACTGAATTAACCTTATGAACATAATTTGTTATCCTTAAATTGTGTACCTCAGCTTGCAGGCCACAGTGGGGCGTTACCTAAGGCATACCAAAGCAACTCATTGTCTTCAACCTCCATCTCATCAACACGACTTACAATCGGTTCAGGTTTGTTTGTGTGATGTTCGATTATTCAAAATTTTAAGATTTATTGAATGTATCGAGACGATCAAAATAGTATTAATCTAATGGGTTCTGCATATATATTTTTTGTCTTTGCTTGGAAATGAAAGAATGAAGCTACGAGTTTGCTGGACGAGATCGAGTCACTCGAGGTTTCGAAGAGGTAGAATCACTACTGTTCATATGGGTCGGTTTAGAATCGCTTTTCAAATGATTATAAAGCGTTTTTAAGTCCTTGAAAGGTCGGTTTTAGTTCCGGTGTTAACTTGGATTTGTAATGTACCAGGAAATTGTTGGGAGAAGGTCTAGGATCAAGCTCCTATGAAGAACTTCAACAAATAGAAAAGCAGCTAGAGAGGAGCTTAGCTCATGTTAAAGCTAGAAAGGTTCTAAAACTTCTACTACAATTCTTCCTTCACTCTTTTTAAATATGAATAAAATAATCTTAAACATGTTTACGAGTTTTAGTGTGAGATCCCACATCGGCTAGAGGGGAGAACGAAACATTTCTTATAAGGGTGTGGAGACCTCTATCCAGTAGACGCATTTTAAAATCGTAAGGTTGACGACGATACGTGACGGGTCAAAACGGACAATATCTATTAATGGTTGACTTGAGTCATGGGCGGTGTGCCAGCGAAGATGTTGGTCTCCCAGAAAGTGAATTGTGGGATCTCACGTTAACCTCTTATAACATTTTAAAACTGTGAGACTGAAGTATAACAAATCTAACCTAGAATTAACATATTTTCATTCTTTCTGATTTTCAGTACGAGATTTACAAGGAACAGATTGAACAACTAAAAGAAAAGGTAAGGAAAAAATTTAAAAAAAAAAAAAAAAAAACTTAAACTTATGCTTCCAATGAATTATGACTATTATTTATTTATTTATTTTTTAAATAACAGGAGAAATATTTGGCTGCTGAAAATGCAAAGCTTGCTAAGAAGGTGAGTTATTTCACGTGCAATTACAAGCTTAGTTTCTATAACTCCCTAAATTTTTATTAGTATTAATTTTGTATTCATTTAATTTTTAATTTTTATATCATTAGATATGATATTTAAATATTTATCTAATAAATTAATTATTATTATTATTTTTTTAAATTGAGGAAGCTTTAAAAATTTAGATAGGTATTAAATACAATTTAAAATAGTCTATAGATTAAATTTATAATTTAACCTAATTATTATTGATAGATATAACTGTCGATTTTTTAACATGTAATGCAGCGTTTTGTCCAACGTGAGCTTCGACAATCATCAGCTCAAGTTGGTGAAGTTTCAACTCATTTAGATCATAGCTCGATTTTCGACGTAGAAACAGAGCTGTTCATTGGACCTCCCAGATCCAGATCGATCAAGTGACTCCTCGGGGATTGTATTTTACTGTACAAACTAATAATTACGTAATAATCTTATTTTTTCATAATTTAATCCGTTCTAGTGTACCATTATTTATAAAAATCAAAGTGGAAATATTATAATCAAATTGATAATAGCGAATTTTCATTAATTTAAATTTAAATGATTTTTTATTTTCTCATTGTCTATGTTTGTAATAATTACATAATATTTTTCATGATTTTGAAAAAAATAAACCAAATTTATCGACCCAATTTATAAATACTTATATATAATTTTAAATAAAATTATTCATGTGTTTATAACATTAGTCACTAAATTAGTTAATATATATTTAATTGTTATGCCATTATTTTAAAAATAATTTAAATATAAAATGATTATTTTCGCTCGGGCGAAAGGGCGGGAAACTTAAAAGGGCAAAAACGGAAAAGAAAAATAGAGAAAAGCGGGAGTATAAAAGCCCCCGGCGTTAGGTAGTTCACACTTCACAGAAATGGCATCTTGTAGCAACGAGGACTTAACTGAACGATTCCGTTCTTCAGTTATCTTCGCTCTCTCTCTAACTTGACCGCGCTACGAAATTTCTCCTTCCAGTCTACAGTTCTCTCCGTTCTTGTGTTCATCGACGATGGCGCTGAAGAAAGGATCGGTGTCTGGTTTTGCTAAGCACGAGGATGAAGGAGGTAATGGTGGTATCGGAGGATATAGGTTAGTTTTGGCTGTTCTCGTCGCTCTCTCTGTTCTTGCGTCCTTGCCTTTTGTCGTCGTCAGCGGCTTCCACACTATTGGTGCGTTTCTTCATCAACTTTTGATCTCCCTGTGTGATTTAAGAAAATGAATGATGTTGTGTTACTTGTAGTCAATTTTCTCTTTATTCTCCTCAGTATTAGTTGAAAGTTTTAGTTAATGTACTTTGTTATAACGTTTTCTATACGGAATCCGAAGATCTACGGCCACTTCAGACTCTGAGTTTGAACTGGCTCTTTCACGAGAGCTTCTTATTTTGATTATTTCTTTGAGAGCTCAATAGGTATAGCGTTCGGATTATTTGAATTATTGACAGAGGTGGAAGGGATTACGAAACAAAAATTTTAACGCAAGTATAAGTGTTAACTACACGGTTTAAGTTTAACATCGTATCCTGCGTTGGAAATGTTAATCGCATTGTAGGAATTGTCCTAGAATCCGTTAAATTTGATATTGAGTTGCACTCATGTTTCCAGAAAGATGTATCGGTCATCATTTCTTCGGATTGATTTTTCACGTCATTTTGCCTCTTAGACAAATGGAGAGGCTCCAGTATTTGTGAGAGGCAAAAAAGTACGAAGAACAAATAATTGAATTTTTTAGAACGATGTAATTATAGTCACAAAACTTCTTCGGTCAAGGAATTTTCGATAACAGCACAATATCCTTATGAGTTCCCGGCTTTTCGCCTGTAGCAACTACTAGAACATTATTGATTCGTTTGCTACAAAATTTATGCGTGAAGTTTGGCTTAGCCAACACTTCACAGAATGATGGTCAAGAGTTTGCCCGCCTAACTCTGTGTAACTGCAAGAGCGACTCTCCTGTATATAATCAAGTGTGATTGTTGGAGAGTAATGAATCCCCACTTCTTCTTGCAAATAAAGTAGTGTCAAACTAGAGTAATCAACAGGAATTTGCTGACACAAAATACATCCTGCCTGTGCTTCACGTCAAACCATGGAGAGACTGAAGAGTGAGATGACGATGTAGGGTGTAGATATAGTTTACTTGATTCGAAGATGAAAATTAGCACATCTAGCCTGACGTTTTCATGTGTACGTGTTGCCCCCTTTTTTGTTTTTATCCTTGAACAAGATCATAGCCTATTTTTAAAAATAGCATGGCGTACGAGTTAGGAAGGATACTTGGTAATTCTGATGGATTACTGTTTTTGTACTTCCCTTCAATGTTTTATTTCTCATCAAGGTGTAGTTGGTTTGAATTTCAAATAATTTTTTTTCCTCCAAAATTTATTACAGTTTTTTAGGGACATTAATGGTAGCTCTATTTTTTTTTTCCATTTTCAAGATAACATTAATTTTAGCCTTTTGAAGTCTCTAGGCAGTCCATTCTTCAAGTTTGTTCAGTTTTCATTAATCTGCATGTAGAAGATTGTAGTTGCATCTAACTTCTTGATTTTGAAAATGTGTTGCTCATGAGCATAATGATTATTTATGGTTAAAAAACAAAAATCTATCCACACATGCATGGCTATACTTGTGATGATGTGGTTTGCGTTTGCTCATTTATTATTTGTTTAATTTGTTACAATATCTGCAGGTGAAGGGGTTATTTCAAGTAGTCCAAGCAAAGGGGTACGTTATTAAAACGTTCTCTATTCTGCATTGGTTTGTGTTGTTTCTTGTGGATTGGAAAAAAAATATTTGCCGAAACTTGTCGATACTCCTGGTAACGTGCAATTGTGTATGAGTTTCCTTACTCGACTTCATCATATTGCAATTAATCCTTGAGCCCTGAGAATTTTGAAATTTAGGAACTGTTTTCCGTGTGAAATATTGATTACTATTCCGCTGCAGGTAATTGATGATATTCCAGTCAACACAAACAATACGGCAACTATTGGTACTAATTCTTCGGTGAACAATACTTTTACCTTATCTTTGAGTTTGGTTGGGGACTCCTCAGTTGATGCGATTTCCATGGTACGCTGGACAACCTCAAACTCTTGTTCTGAATTACCGATTTGGTTGTTATTGAGTCGTGATTATGCTTGTAGCTAAGCCAAACGACTGTAGTTTCGAGAGGAACCCTCCAGGTCGAAGAGGACACTTCTTTGGGTGGTAATACTAGGACATCTTATTTTTATGATAAACTGCTAGCTCTTGTTTTTCGCGCTCTTTTATTGACGCTGTTGTCTTTTACATGTTATCGTACGGAATTCATCTATTTGCCCGTGTTCCCTAAAGCAGCCAGAAGGGTAATAATGATTGATTATATTTTTCATTACTTAGTTTTCTATGTTGAAAATAAATTTGGTCCAATACGTCCCTTGCTTAGATGATGGAGGAGAAGGATATTCGACTTTGCACGTTGTTGACCTTATTTGCCCCCCTGCCCCTGTCGTTCCTATTTTGTAGATAGCAAGAGAAGAACGAAACGAAAATCAATTGCTGGAGTTGGACTTTGATCCGCCTAATGAAGATACCATTGTAAAACTTGAGAATGCAAATATGCAGGCCTCTGAACTAGTTGACTCCTCGATCACTGGAAAATACAGTAAATGGAAGAAAGAAAACAAGAACAAGAATCAAGATTCTACTATACGTCTAATGCGAGACCAGATTATTATGGCAAGAATATATTTGAGCATTTCGGAAAAGAAAAGGAAACTTGATTTGGTTCAAGAGCTCCAAATTTGTCTTAAAAGGAGTCGTGGTGTACTAGGAGAGGCAAATATTGATGCTGAGTTGCATTACAGGTAATAGAACTCGGTCGTTCAGTGTCCATCGTGATATTATTTGCAATATTCTATGCTTGTAATTTATTTTTCATAACGATCGTAAGGGCTCTTTTTATGTTGAGCCATACACTGTTATAGTGCGCCCAAGAAAATAAAAGCTATGGCTGATGTTCTTTCAAAGGCGAGAGATCAACTGTTTGATTGCAAGTTGGTGACCAGGAAGCTGAGAGCAATGCTTCTAACTGAAGAAGAAAAGGTTAGAAGGTTGAAAAGGCAAAATACATTTCTCATTCAATTGGGAGTTAAGGGTATTCCAGGTGGTATTCGCTGCCTGTCCTTGCGCCTCACCATCGATTACTACCTTCTTCCTCCGGAGAGGAGAAATTTCCCTAGAAGTGAAAATTTGGAAGATCCAAGATTCCACCATTATGCTCTCTCCACTGACAACGTCTTGGCTGCCGCAGTAGTTGTGAACTCAACCGTAATGAATGCTAAGGTGAATTCAACTCACCAATTCAGAGCTTTTTTCATGATAATTGACTTCTCTGAAACATGTATCAATTGCATATTTGATAATGGTCAAGTTTATTTGTCTACTTATGTTGTATTTTAACTTACTTCCTTGTTTGCACGACAGGATTCTTCAAAACATGTATTCCACCTGGTAACTGATAGTCTCAATTTTGGAGCATTGAAAATGTGGTTTCTCTTAAATCCTCCTGAAGAGGCTACGATCCACGTTGAAAATTTAGATGAACTTAAGTGGCTGAACTCATCCTATTGTCCAGTACTCCGCCAGCTTAATTCTGCAGCAATGAGAGAGTATTATTTCAAGGCAGGACATTCTACCACTCGTTCATCTAGTGCTTCTAATTTGAAGTACAGGAACCCAAAATATCTCTCAATGCTAAATCATCTGAGGTTCTATCTACCTCAAATTTTTCCCGAGTTAGATAAAATTCTATTTCTGGACGATGACATTGTTGTCCAGAAAGATTTGACTGGATTGTGGCTTGTAGATCTTGAGGGAAAAGTCAATGGTGCCGTGGAAACCTGTGTTGAGAATTTTCATCGTTTTGACAAGTACCTTAACTTCTCAAACTCTTTTATCGCTGGAGAATTCGACCCAAATGCATGCGGTTGGGCATATGGAATGAATATATTTGATCTCAAGGAGTGGAAAAAGAGAAATCTCACTGGCGTATATCATACATGGCAGAACTTGGTAAGTCTTGCACCCATATCCCCTTCGTGTTGTTTTGCTTTCTTAAACGCTTGGCCGGATTAACTGTGGTCTCGGTGGATAAATTTTACTACATATATACACACATCAGTTTACGTGGATTTTGCAATGTTGTTTTCAGAATGAAGATAGGCTGCTTTGGAAGCTGGGTACCTTGCCTCCAGGTTTGATGACATTTTATGGGCTGACATATTCCCTCAATAAGTCTTGGCATGTGCTTGGATTGGGTTACAATCCAAGTATCAACCCATCAGAGATAGAAAATGCAGCTGTTATTCACTATAATGGCAACATGAAACCTTGGATGGAGATGGCAATGACAAAGTATCGCCCCTACTGGACAAAATATATTGACTACGACCATCCTTATCTTCGCCAGTGCAACTTCGTTAAATGAAACTTACTGTGGATAACTGCAGCTACAGGTTTCTCTAACTTTCACTCTCTCTCTCTCTCTCCCTCCCCACGTTGAATTTGCTTTACTTGGTTTGCTGCATGACATGGGGCTGGGGATATCTCACATCACAGTTAAGTACCTTTGTAATTCATTCAATTGGTTCTCACTGGCCTTCATGCATTATACTTGAGGGGAAACAAGTCACGTTAGCATGTGAGAAATTCTTATGCCGACTTAGTTTAGAGTAAAAGATTTGGTTCTTTTTGTCCATGGCTTTCTCTGCCTTCAAGCACTCTTTATTTGAGGTTGAACTCTTTTAATTTTGGATTGCTTCATTCTTAAGAAGTTAGAGTAGAAAATTTTGATGCTTTAATATTTTAAAACTTGTGTCCTTAGAAAGGTTGGGATTTGGGAATCGTACTAACAGTAAGATGTCAAAATTTAAGGTAAAAAGAGACACCTCAGTTTTTGGATTTTTCCTTTTAGATTTTCCTTCATAGTTTTAAAACAGGGGTCTTATAAGGAAGGTCTCGTTTCTTTCTTCAACCAATGTGGGATCTCACAGTCCACCCCTTTGGGGTCCCAGCATCCCAGTTGAAACACTCCCGGCTTTGATACCATTTGTAACAGCTCAAATCCACTACTACCAAATATTGTCCTTTTTGGACTTTCTCTTCTGGACTTCCCTCGAGGTTTTAACATGTATCTCTTAAGAGTTGTTTCCACATCTTTATAAAGAATGTTTTGTTCTCTTCTTCAACCAACGTGAGGTCTCACGTAAAGAAAGGCCGGTTAGTTCATTAAATCTAGTGTACCCACACCTTCTCCTGCACTCTGCACCGAAAGAGCTGTAGTACAAAAGACTCCTTGATGGAAATAATAACCTCAGAAGCCTGTAATCACTTTTAGGGAGCTTTCTTCTCATCGAATTGAGAAAGAAAATGGATAATCTTGAAAATTGTTAAGAGTCGGTGGTTACAGAAACAAACTATTGGGTATATCCATAAATATTAGTCCTCTATAAAGAAGAGAAAGGTTGAATACTCTAATCCAATACATTAAGGTGGCTCTGTTGTCAAGTTTTTGGAGTCTCTTTTTCTCAATAGACATCCTTTCTTCAGCCTTCCTTAACTAATCCATGAAGGGAGACACCAGAGGTTTGTTTGAGAAGAGTGCCTCCATGTTTTCCACCACCAACTTAGACATTCCCACAAAAGATTCATGTGTTATGATAGCACCATTATCTAGTTTAAAGAGCTGTTTCGGAATTTCGGGTTCATTCTCAAACACATCCAGCCCAGTGTCACGGTCATGCTCGAAGTGCGATGCGATTGTGACACCCAGCACCCCAGAATCAAACATTGAATCATCTCCTTCTCGTCAATGATCGCCCCACGACCAATGTTGATTTTCACTCCAATTTTTCCTAATGCTAGCATCACCTCCCTGTTAATGAGTATGGAACTACTGGCTTCTTGGTCCTTGAGTTATATGAGATTCTGCACCCAAAACCCTCCAGCCTTTTGGCAACTTCAGAGCCTATTTTTTCCAATCCAACTAATCCCTATTTGCTTGCCGCTCAACTGTGAAAACTTTTAACCTTCAAATTCATCAATCTAAAAACATCCAAATTCAACTACACTTTTGTTACTGAGGTGATTGCAATTAGATGAAGGAAAAAAAAAAAAAAAAATCAATTGCACCTTTAATCTGAGAGGAAAATCACCTTTGGTAGGCCAGAGTCCTTTACCTTACGAACCGGTCTCCCGCCGACACTTTTCTAAGGACATGGATTAGTAATCCAACCGCCATATCGGCGACATCTTCAGAGAACAAGTTTCCTGCATGGGCAATGGCTATCCCACGGCCCCGTAATTAGGCCAAGTTCAAGTGGTCGACACCGGCGCTGGGAGTGACGTCGAGCTCCAGCGACGGGAGGCAGTCGAGAAGGGCGGAGTTCAGCGTGGGAATGAAAGGTGGGATGAGTAAGGCTTGGGTGGATTTGGGCATAAGAAGTGAGAAAATTTAATTTGTTTGGGAATTGGGATTCCGAAACTGACAGTACCCAGGGAGGAAGCTCTTCGGCCTGTCTTTCCACTGCCATTTTTACCTGTTACTAAGGAAGACGGATTAGATTTCCTTTGGATGGATAAAACAAGATTGCGATTCGCTGCCAAAAAATCAGTTTTAAATTAGAATTTTTTTTTCTTTATTTAGCTATAAGGTCGAAAATAGGTTTTATTATTTTAGTTACTTCATATCAAAATTTGATTTTGTAGTTTATTATGAGGTAATTATATAAACTTTTGTATAATATAAATCACATCTAATTTTGTTTAATCCAAATTATTTAATAAAAATTTTAGAAAAATAAAAGTCTAGAGGTGGCGGCAAACTTTTATAAAAGCTAAATCTAAAAGTTGGTATCCATAATTTTTATTACAATGATGGATGAAAATTGTCGTTATGTTTAATGTTTATAAATTAAAAGGCATCCAAGGCATTCATGTAAATTAATGTAGCTGTAAAATTTGATTTTGTGAATGAGGTTGTAAATGATGTTCTGTATATGTGTACGTCTTTTTTTCTATTTAATTAATAATTATGTCAATTTATGTATTTTAATTAAAAGAAATGAAGGATATTTTTAAAATAACCGTCATTAAAAAAAAGAAAAACATAATTTAAAAGCTACTTTCAAGTGCAGCAAAGCAAAAGTGTATAATAATTTAACAAGAAAAAGTGGAGCCAAAATTATATTTTTTGGAAAAAATCCAAATTAAATTAAAATAGTCTGAACTAACTAAATAAGCTACTACGACTTAAACAGTTATTTTATATAATTTAAGTTATGCCCTAAAAGAATATGAAATATTGGGTATATTTTGCCAATAATTTTGGGCGGGGACTATAAGAAGGACCGACCTTCATTTTCTGTTCGTGAACCGTCAAAAGAATCCATCCTGCTAACTTTGCGCTCTCTTTTGAGCGACAAAGCCAAAAAATTCTCCTCCCATTGTAGTGATCATCGACATTGGAGCTGAAGAAAGGATCGACCTCTGGTTTGGCCAAGCACGAGGACGAAGTAGGAAAATGGCGATGCAGGAGAAATGGGTTCCTCACAACTGGTGCGTCTCTTCTCATACTTCAAATCTTTCTGTGGTTTAGGAAAATGAATGGAATGGAGTGTAGTTTTTACTTCGGCTCTTTAGTTATTAGAGAACTCCAGTCAGTTTCTCGTTATTTTCCTCTGCGTAGATTCAAAGCCATGGTTAATTTACTTTGCTATAATGTTTATCTTATTGGAAGAACTACGGCTGCTTCAGGTTAGGAGTTTATAACTGGCAATTTCAAGACGATTTTCTAATAGTGATTAATTCTTTGTTAGCGCCAAATAAATGTAGTGTTCGCTTTGAGAACTAGGACGAACTAGGATAAACAATATGGGACTGTATCGAAATATTAAATCGATGGAGAGTAATAGTTTTAGGGTTTGGATGGGGTCTGAGGATTATTATTGGGAGTGAGCTGGCTAATTTAGCGAAAGATCATGAATTTATAAGTAGGGAATACTATTCTATTACTATGAGACATTTTAGAAAGTCCAAAATAATATGAGACATTTTGAAAAGTCCAAAATAAAATAAACAATACCACTGTCGATTTCCAACTTACAACCTCCAACCTCAAGCTCATTTTGTGCCGTTATTGACTCTGTACTCTATTACTTGTGATTCTGCTTATAGCCACAAGCCAAATGGCTGCAGTCCAAGGAAATAGATACCGACCAAGGATAAGAGGACAGAGGATAAAGCATCGCCCCTACTCCTAGTGGAGAAAGTATCTGTGGATTGCAGCTTTCAGGTCTCTCTCTCTCTCTCTCTCTCTCCACGTTGAAATTGCTCCACTTAGTTCACTGCATGACATGGGGCTGGCGAAATCTCATTTAATTCTAAGCTCTATTTTGTTTACAGCAAAATTTTTATTGGGTTTGTGGGAATTACATGCCGCATTCATATTCTTCCTCCAAGCATAGATACTATTACTTCTATTCAGTTCCTATTTCTTCGATCTCATTTAGCCAATCTGGACCATAGGAATTATCCATAATTTGTCAGAGTTGGTTAGTTCTTGCTGTACATTGATTTCAGTTTATTCCATTAGTAATTTAATTTTTTTTTAAAGAAGGAAGGAAAGCTAATCATTCAATCTTCACCGCTACACTTCCTCTCCACCAGTAATTTCCGCAAAGAGCTCTGGAAGAAAAGCTTCTTGCTGGAAATGATAATCCCAGAAACAAGATTCCGCATGTAAAAAGCTTTATTCTCATCAGAATTTGAGATGGAAAATTCAGAAACTAATGGATGAAAAAAAAATCTCTTAGACATTCTACTCTTGACCAAAAGGAGAAGTTTGAATCCTTGTATTGATGAGCTAAAAGAAATGGTCAAATACACCAATACATCAGCGTGGCTTTGTTGTCAAGTTTTAGGAGTCTCCTTTTTGTCAAGAAACCAACCTCCCTCAGCCGAAAACTGCACCATAATTAATCCACAAAGGGAGACACAAGAGATTTGTTTGAGAAGAATGTCTCTAAGTTCTCCACCATCAACTTAGACAATTCCATTCGAGATTCATATGTTCCGACAGCAACATGCGGTGTCAATACAACATTATCAAGATGAAAGAGCTCTTCAGGAATTCTGGGTTCATTCTCAAACACATCCAGCCCAGCTCCACCAATCTCCCCTTCAATCAAACACCGAATCATCTCCTTCTCGTTGATGATCGCACCACGACCAATATTGACAATCACTCCATCTTTTCCTAATGCAACCATCACCTCCCTGTTGATTATATGGTGGGTTTCCTCAGTCAACGCACAACAAATTATGAGTACTTCACAGTTGGCTGCAAGTTCATATACATTGGAATAGTAGGAATATGGAGCCATTGACTTTTTGATCCTCGAGTAATATGAGATTTTGCAGCCAAAACCCTCCAGCCTTTTGGCAACTTCAGAGCCTATTTGCCCCAATCCAACGATTCCAATTCGCTTGCTGCTCAACTGTGAAAATTTCCAAAATTCATCCAAGCAAAACATTCAAATCAAACTATACCTTTTCCATGATTAGCTTTAATAACTTGAAATGAAAAAGGGGGGGGG